TTGTTGGTTCCCTGACCGAGTTGCTTATGTGGCGCAGTGCAGGTTTCTGGTCACGAATGAAGGAGAAAGGTTCAGTGGCAAAAGACGCATGGGGTGTCATTGGCAGCGCGTTCGTTTTTCATCTATACTGTCTTGTTTACACGTTCACGACATATGTAAAACAGATTTAGCGTGCAGTCTCTCATGTCCGAGATGGACCGTTTGCAGAAGAAGGGGGAACTTGACGAGGACGTGCTGCGTGCACTAGAAGAGGATGTTACAGGCAAGGTGTGCTTCGCAACACAGTCCATCTGTTGGCGAGATAAGTTGACACGCACTAGATCATGCTAGCGTCTTGGCGAGGCACGCGTTTCGAAGTCGTTCAGGTTCTTCGGGAGGTGGGCTCAAGGGTTGTTTACGGGTGTGCAGCAGTTGAACCATCCCTATTCAGGTTGTGGATAACGTGCTCAAAGATAAAGAGGCGTCCGATCAGGTTTTATTCCACCGCGCGAAGGTGTGTCATTATGTCGCCATTCAGAGATCGTTGTCCCCATCTAAACGTTGACATGACGTCACTCTTACCCTGTTCTTCGTCAGGGATTGATGATCATGGGTCATATATTCAAAAGCACGGTTCCCGATGAGAGCGATGAGGTCCGACGTGAACTTGAGCGGTGTGTTCGGCTTTTAAGTTGATCCGCGGTGACTGAGGCCACTTATTTTTTAGAATGGTCGCCGAAGCAGCGGAGGGCAAATCAAAGCATCACCACTTGCGTGGAAAAGCCCGGAGAGAAGGCAACACGACGCCTGAGATGTCGCAGAATGAAGGCGAGCATCCGGTGAATGAGCATGTTGAGGGAGACTCAGGGACACGTACACCTTAATAGTGCTGAGACAGCTGGGGTTCGGGGTGAAGGGCGAGCGCACGCGTCATGGTTCCATAGTATGGGATCGGATCTTAGGACTGCTTTTGATTTTTATGACTATTCTTTCAAACGGTTATCGAATGCGATCGGCGATAAATTTTCTGTGATACTCTACATACAACTACAACATGGTGCACGGTAGTTGCCTATCTCTGGGTCTGAATTCACATGTTAAACGTACACGTCTCTGTTATGTGTTGCATCATATGCTGGCCTCGAAGACCTCTCGCACCTGTCATATTAACGTTGAACACCATGGTACGACGATGATCAACCAATAGGCAATACACATACCCGCATAAAAAATTCATTGTCTTGGAGGACACGGAAGCCGGTACATGCCAGGGCCTTGGTGGTAATCATACATGCTTTGTGGGCTTCCGTGGTTCGCGCAGAATCAGCGAATGCTGGTGAATGGTTTCCCCCATTGGGCCGTGTAGGGATCGCTTTAGTGTACGTACCGAGAACGGTCAGATAAGTGTAGAGATAGTCGCACCGCACAACATACCAAAAGCTGGATGTAGCGAGGGCAAGACTAAAAATACGATGAGTACAAATTTGCCATGAGACTTTAGAGGGATGCACTTGCCGTATGAAACATTACCCTAGAACGTAGTTAGTTGATGCGCATGCGTCGGAAAGATCTGATAACCACACATACAAAATCTGTGGACGCCCCTGAGGGATACTGCCCGGCATTCACGCCAGATTCTTGACATATCGCGTGAGAGAAGGCGCTCGCTACATTCGAGTGTTGATTGATTAATCAAAAACATCTGAGAAGGCGACTTACCAAGGATGCTATTCTGCCGTAAATCACAATAGGGCGTGTTCTTCGTGATCTTGAGACGACAGGAAGTTGCCAGTGCGGCACCCCTGTAAACCCTTGTGAGATGCCGTCGACTGTAAGAATGACATGTAGATGCTCACTCGAAACAGGCGGACACTCTTTCAGTCAGTTGCGTTAACTGGTCTCTTGTCGGCGCTCGGACATACCACCTCATTTTGGCGTAGTCGGGTATCACTGTAAAAGCATTATTCATGTTCCAATGGTAGAAGTTGCCAAACTGTACCATTCACAGCTCTCTCGCTGCCATTGATAACGCCGTTTATTCTGTGGTCAGGTTTGATCTGCTGTCGTAACACGGAGACGCTGGAGTATGATAAGAACGCAGCATCAAGTGCATTGGCACCTTCCCATGGAGCATTTCCAGCATGAGCGCTGTTTCGGATTAATTCATGAGACCATATACGAACCACAGGACCCACGATTGCCCAAAGAATTCGGCATCTATAGATTGCATCGCCAACGAAGATACCACAAACGAAGACAACTCAGGTCCAGGGGAAGGATGGCACCTGTATTAGCCACGCATGTATCAGTTATGTTCCGAAAGCATTCAGCGGGACACACGGACATTAAACAAGCATCCATCCCTTTGTAGGCCCCTCGCTCAAGCAGGATAATCTTTCCTCCTCCGCCTTCTTCAGCTGAAGGAGAAATGAGAACCTCGTGTCGGACCAAATTCAAACTCGTTACCTGGGGTTCCTAGAAGAACGACGGTGCCAGGAACGTTGTGGGTTTCCAGTGCGGATTTTATGGCTAATGCCACACCTACCCCACTGATTGCAATGAGGTTGTGGCCACATGCATGCCCAATCTCAGGTAATGCATCCATCTCCGAGTTAATCCCAAGGGTTCTGCCTCCCTTCCCGTGGGTGTATTCAGCCTTCCAAGCAGTCTTGAGGCCGAGATAGTGCCTCGTGACAGAAAACCCGTGGCTTTCCATATAATCACACAGAAGATTGTGAGCAAATCTATGAAAATTTCATCAGCGTGATGCGCGAGGGATACACGTGCTGCAGACATTTCTTCGAACATCAATTCTGGGTTGCCTGCACATCTCACAGTCAGTATTATAAACGAGGCAAGAGCTGAGGGGCTTACTGTGAATCTGAAGACTGAGCGATCTTAGGGATGAATCGAGTGTGTCGAGCACAGTTTCGATCGTGTGCCTGATTGCTCCGCATATAGAATCACTAGGAGAAGGCAAGTCTGAATAAACTGGAGGAGCTTCCCACTGGCATGCTGCAGTATTGAATTCACTGCTTCCAAAATCACAGCACGTATCATAAAACACGCGGGAGGTTAGATCGGCCTATGGGGAGCAACGGATAAGTTGCGCGCAAAATGATGCAAAGATAAAACATACGATATCATCGTCCCTTTCTGAATCAGACGCCTTTCGCGTCTGATTACATACACGGGACGAGTCCGCTTGTTTGGTGGAACTCTTAAGTGCACGTTGAGGTTTCAACTTGAACAAGCGTCTTAGAGGAAGGCACCCGCTATGGTGATTGGCATCAGAGGCGTCTAAAGACATTAGAGAGACAGCGATAAAGTGGTGGCGAAGAGTGGGGGATCACTAAACGGGGTCCCTGGTAACATGTCTGAGTTTATCAACTATTCGGCGCTTGACACCCTGGTGCATATCGAACGCGGAATAGAGTGTGATCCGTACTCCGGTACCATCGGGGTTAGGTAAGTCTACGCGTACGATTGCTCACGTTCATCTGTGATAGAAGATTGAATCAGGCGCTACTTCGTGTGTATCTACACAATCTCAAGAACCTGGTCGCGAGGTCAATGAAGTCGTGCGAGATCCTGCAAAGAACTTCCCGTACTTTCACCACCGCGGAAAAAGGAACCAATTTTTCTCCAAATGTTATCCTCTCGCTGTGGTGTTGGCATGCTGTCTTGCCCGCTCAAGCCTAGGACAATCCTTCCGTGGCGCGAGGAGAGACAACAGTGATCCGTGGATTCACTCCCTTCAGCGGTCGGTATATTGTCGCCGATGAGTAACAACGTCTTTGTCTTCTTCCCGTTCATGCTGCGGATGCTGCTAGACAGCCCGGGAAGAATATCATAACCACCCAATTTGCTACCGCGTATCTGCACGTCCCCGCGAAAAGTTGGGGGAAGTAGTACCACAATCTTGCCTGGTAAATACAGAAATGTCAGTACAAATCACAAATAAGAATGGCGCAGAAGAACAACTGAGCATCGATGTCACTTTTTGACGCGTGGCATAGACGAGACAGATTTAGGCGTAGAGACGAGATTTTCCATGGTTTCCCATGTGGAATCCGAAGAACACGGCCCTCGAGTCATCAGACCTTCCGCGCGCGCAAACCAGTACTGCCAGCCTGAGGACCGTTTCAACTCACCTCTTCGGGAAGTTACGTTCAGCGTGATGCGTTTACCAGGATATATAGAACTCTATTTTCAGAAACATAAGACCCTACTTTATGGAGATGAAGTTTAGAAATCTTACTCACCAAGTTGACGGCGATGTCTCCATGGCGGGTCGAAACGTCAACTATTGTTCGATGGCATTGTTCTGATGATCCTTTGGTCGCAAGAGTCAGAAAGATAGACCCAAACCGATTACGAAAAACGGCATGAGGCGCTGCAGAGAGAAAGCCGGCTGCTTTCCTTAGCCCTACTAGGTCACTGTGCCTGGCTGCAAAGCCTCGCAGAGCGGATGGTTCGTCGTCTCCTGACTCAGGGTCAATAATGTACGTTCCTGTATGGGCCCAACTTAAGATAAACGCAGAGGCAGTACACAAGCGATGCTCACCGGATATCGACTCATGGTGCTTTTCCAGCCGAATGGTCTTCACTGTGGGCGCATTGGCGAGCGCTGTCGACACCACAGCAGAACCTGACACGGAATCACTGTACGGCGGAGGGCTGCAATCTGGAATATCATGATGTGATGATGATGATGCCTTCTCATCTTGAATGAGCATGGCGGTATGTAGCTGAGGTTCTTCCTTGTTCTGCAGTATCATTTTGACAGTGTTGCATTTAGTACTTGTTAGACTCAAACGGTCAATAGCGGGCCATTACCAATTAAAAGGGGGTGGACCCCGAGCACAATGATGCTGCGCATGGCCTGCGCCCCCTAGGCTGCGCAGCTGCGGATAACGACAATCTGTCATGGGTCAAGTCGCGTAATGAAGGAATAAAAATCCAGGGCCATAAATCTGGCATATGATAACCGAGGCAAGCACGCGTATAAGCAATAAAAAGGGCCTGGCCGGGAATTGAACCCGGGACCTCCTCGAAATTGACTACCGCCCTAACAAGGAATCATACTACTAGACCACCAGGCCATGATGTTTGATCGGGCTCTGGTAGACTATCATTATTAATTGCTTTCAAGGTGTCTTTGAATGACAGAACTAGACACTGAAGCTCTTTGATAGAATTGGGCGCCATAAACGAATGAAACCAGTCGCACCTCCAATGCGTGCCGTGTTCAAGATCCAGGAATGCAATGACAGCATTGATTCAGCGTTGAATGTTGAACGTTCATGAATGCATGAGCCAAGGATGACAACCTTTAGGATTCAATAGACGTAAACAGAACGGACCAGGTTCCTGCCGTAAATAGTCTTCCTTCTTCAAGCTCTTCCAGTGTCCATAGCATATTACAATCCTGTAGTTGGACTGCAGGTGCAGTGGAATATCTAGGACGCTGGCGACGACAATAAGTATGACGTCTGTAACTCAGTATGCCCACACGGATCACCTGGGGCATATCTTTCAAGGCTTGCGAAGCCCTGCCCACGATGCTCGATTGCAAGCTGCAACGGAGTTGCGTCGTTATGTGCGCATTCATAGTTCATGCGTGCGAGTCGCCTCTCATGGTCCAGCAGGTTGCAATGACTGTCGCAGAAATGCCATCTGATGCGGTGGCGAAACTTTGGGACGATGACATCAACAAACGCCTGTTCGACCTGATGCACAGCCAGAATAATGTAGATAGATTAGGCGGGCTTCTGGCCATAGGTGCGTCCAAACGTCATGATGCCATGGCTGTATAGCTCACGTCACTTAGATCACCTCCTTGAAAGTGAAGGAGAGGACACTATTGGTTCAAAGAAGTACCTCTTTCGGTTTTACAACTACGTCAAACAGCTACTTCCAAATCACGATGTCAATATCATGCTTGCCGCATCCAAAACACTTGGCCAAATTGCTGCAATCGGCGGGGCCGACTTCGGAGAACGCTTTATGGATTTAGAAGTTCCAGCCGCAGTGGAACTATTACAGGGTGACAAGCAGGAGTCACCCCGCTATGCCGGAGTGCTCATCCTGAAGGAGCTCGCACGCAACAGTGCGACATATTTTCACTCCCACATCAGCCTCGTATTTGACAAGATACTCATACCTCTTCGGGATTCTCGAAACATTGTCAGGGAGGGAGCTGCAGAGCTTCTTGCCGCATGCCTTGAGATTGTCACGACACGTGAACGGCAGACACGCACAACTTACCTCATGAAGATTCTTCAGGACGCCCAACTGGGGCTCAAAATGTCCCAACCTGAGGTCATTCATGGGTCTCTTCTCACATACCGAGAATTATTGTTACATGGCGATATGGCAAGTGACTTCAGCTTCGTCATCGCATTTGAATTATAATTGCCTTCAGTTCATGAGAGAATCGTTTTTGGATACTGCAGAACAAATTCTTCGCTTCAAATCACATCGAGACGGTCTCGTTCGCAAGATGGTCATCACCCTAATCCCGACCCTCGCTGCCTACGAAACGCAGGTTTTCTCGGAACATCATTTGCACAAATCCATGGGACATTTACTAACACAGCTGGAAAAGCCAAACGAGAGGTCCTTTGGTTCGCATCCCCTTATCAGTCAACGTGCTACATTTTGATATTTTCTCGTCAGCATTCATCGCCATCGGTCACACTGCCACTGCTGTAGGAAGTGATATGAAACCTTTCCTCGACTCTATCATGGCTCAAATTAAGTTTGGTTTACAAGCCAGGGGGTACGTCGTATATAGACTGCTGTATGCAGTCATCAGAATTCTTTTTACAGAAAGAAGAATGCTCCTTCAGAAGAACCTATTTTCCAATGCGTCGGAATGCTCGCTTCGGCTGTCGGTCCAAACCTCACGAAGCTTCTTCACGATCAGCTTGATCTATTCTTTGCGTGCGGGTTGAGTGAGCCTCTTAGACAGGCACTGATGGCTATTGCACGTAATATCCCTCCTTTGCTAAAGACAATTCAAGGTGGGTCAGTTGACATTACACATGCCATTCTTATCAAAACAAACACGTTGTCAGACCGTTTGCTGGATCTGCTTTCCATGATCTTATGTGGGCAGCCTTATAAAGCCATCGGAGCCCCACCTTCCCTGGTTCGGAGTGACGTCTCTGCGTTTACGAGAGACTTGAGCTCATCTCAAGTGAGTTACTCAACATGTCTGTCGATCATATCAATCATGACTCGCGAAGACCACTAGAAGCGGTAAGAGTCCTGAGCTCATCACACTTGCGTTGTCCACGCTTGGCACCTTTGACTTCAGCGGTAAGCCACCTGCTACCACTTAATATAATGCACTCATCATGAGCAGGTCATATCTTGAACGAGTTTGTCCGCAATGCCGCGCTTCCTTATCTGGAAGACGATAATGCAGACGTCCGACGCGCTGGTGCTCTCACTTGCTGTAGGCTGTTCGTCAGGGACCCAATTTGTTACCAAGCGAGCAGTCACGCGATTGAAATAATCAGCGACGTTCTCGACAAACTCCTCACAGTAGGGATTGCAGACCCAGGTAAGTTCATCTGTTCCCCCACAGGCCACCTGACATAATCAATACATTACTATAAGACCCTACCATTCGGCAAACTGTTCTATCCTCCCTCCATGAAAGATTCGATAAGCACTTGGCGCAAGCTGAGAACGTGAGGTCAATCTTTATCGTCCTGAACGATGAGGTCTTCGAAAACCGAGTCACTGCTGTCACTTTGATTGGACGCCTTGCCAAGCATAACCCTGCCTATGTGATGCCTTCCTTGCGCAAGGCCCTGATACAACTATTGACAGAGCTAGAATACTCAACTGTGATGTGCGTTCATCTATCTCGGTGACCTAGAACAAATCATGAATCTTTTTACAGGCGAAATCGCGAAGATTGTACCCGACTACTCACTCTCCTAGTGGGCGCGACTCAACGCCTCATAAAGCCATACGCACTCCCTATGCTCCGCGTCCTACTGCAGAAGGCGAATGATAGCAACCCGGCTGTAGCTGCCAATGTTCTCATGTGTCTCGGGGAACTGGCAGCTGTTGGCGGGGAAGATGTGGCTCCTCATATCCCGGAGCTCATGCAGGTCATCATCTCCAGACTTTCCGACCCGGCTCATGTCAAGCGTGACGCTGCTCTCCACACCCTCGGCCAGTTGTGCTCTAGTACTGGGTATGTCATAACACCCCTGGTAGACTATCCTCAGTTGCTTCCGATCTTGGGACGCATTCTGAGAAGCGAATCCGCTCCGCATGCACGCCGCGAGGTTGTAAGAGAAGTAGTCAAAGTTCTCGGTATCCTTGGAGCTCTGGATCCATATAGACGGAAGGTTTGGCTGGTGTGCGCATCTTCGCTTCGATTTACTGACATATCCTTAGACAAGGCCGGATGAGGATGCCACGAATGAAACACCACTTCCTGCTGCTAATGCTGTTGCCATTTCTCAGACAGGATCATTGACAGGTAGCGACGACTACTACCAGACCGTTGTGATCACGTCCCTTCTCGCTGTTTTGAAGGATCAGTCACTTAGCAATCATCACCACACTGTCATCGAAGCGATCATGAACATTTTCAGGACGCAAGGGTTGAAGTGTGTGGCTTTCCTACCACAGGTGCATCGGTTATCTTGCTGCTGCATGACCAAATGTTGTACTAACCCAAACGCTTCGAAAGATTATTCCTGCCTTTACTGCTGTAGCTCGCACCTCCACAGCCCGTTTGCAAGAATTTCACCTGCAGCAATTGGCTATTCTGGTCGGGATCATTAAGCAACATATCCGCAATTATATGCCAGAGGTCTTTGGCCTCGTGACAGAGCTTTGGGAGAACGCCTCCCTTCAGCTTCCCATAGTATCGTTGATTGAGGCGCTGGGGAAGGCTTTGGACGCCGAGTTCAAACCTTTTCTGCCAACCATTCTGCCTCACCTTCTCAAAGTTTTCGATGGAGACCTCGAGAAGAAAATGGCCACTCAAGTCAAGATTTTTGACTCTTTCCTAACATTCGGGGCAAATATTGAAGAGTACCTCCACCTCGTCATCCCTGTTATTGTCAAATCTGCTGAACGACCTGATGCTACCACTCTGCTCCGCAAGAAAGCAATACAGACTATAGCCCATTTATCCCTCCGAGTCAATTTCTCTGATCATGCTTCTCGCATTGTGCACCCCTTGATCCGTGTGCTAGAGGGAAACAACAATGAGCTTCGGCAAGCGGTAATGGACACCCTGTGCGCACTAGTTGTCCAACTTGGATCTGACTTTGCTATCTTCGTGCCCACTATCAACAAGGTGCGTATCATTGAGTTTATTCCTCCTTTTGGGATAATTGACAGCATGATAGTGCCTGCTCCGGAATCGTATACCTCATCCCCGTTATGAGAATTTGATATCGAAGCTCCTGAATGGGGAACGTCTACCGCAAGAGCCGGGCACTCATGACTTACTGTGCGTCTTTTTTGGCAACTTCATAACCTCAGTTCCTGATGCTCCTTCAGCGAATCCAAGGCTGCAGAAATCTCTGTCCCTGCAGAAGCTGCCAAATTGACTGTAAACCAACAGCATCTGAAGCAAGCGTGGGACGTGTCCTCCGTGAGCACAAGGGAGGATTGGACAGAGTGGATGCACCGTCTTTCTGTGGAGTTGATGAAGGAATCTCCGTCGCACGCGCTTCGGGCTTGCATGAGTCTTGTCGATATTCACCCTCCTTTGGCGAAAGAACTGTTCAATGCAGCATTTATATCCTGCTGGACAGAACTCTATGATCAGTATCAAGTAATTCCACTCTGTACTCATAACCGACTCATGCTAACCGCTTGATCAGGAAGGACTCGTGCGATCCATTGAATGTGCCATCGTCTCCACCACTGCTCCATCTGATCTCGTACACCGACTGCTTAGCTTAGCTGAGTTCATGGAACACGAGGAGAAGCCACTCCCCATCGAACATCGCACTCTGGGAGAATATGCAATGAGGTTCCATGCCTACGCGAAAGCTCTTCACTACAAGGAGCTCGAATTCTTTACCGAAACTTCCCCCAACATCATCGAAGCGTTGAT